AAAATAAACGTAGTCGCGATGAGACAGACTGCTTCTTGTTTTATCCTCGAGTATCTTCTGAAGGATTCGGTTGGCTGATATCCATAAATACTTTATACTTTCTCAAGTTTAGTATATGTTGGTAAAATTATGCGTAATAGTAGTATTGTAAATTTTGTTATTTCTATCCCTGCTAGATGATTAAAAGACAATACTAGTGGTTGTCCATACACAACTTTTTATACTTATTGTTATTAAAAATTACCAAAACGCTCCAATGACTGATGTATGCCGCGATCAATAATCTTATAAAAGTAACAAGTTCTACAAGTATACTACGTTTACTTTTTCGTTTTCTTGAAGAAAACCAGCACTTCTACATTGTAGTAATCTGAAATGATAAATAAATTGGTTGAAATGAAAAATAAATTAGCTAATCGTATGATTAATACGATCTTTATAATATATTAAATTGGGATTTTTCAATACCTTAAAGTTGCAAATATAACCTCACTTTAGAGATTTGTTAACAGAAATCAGCTATTCTTGATGTTTTATGATCTGTTGTGATGTAATTCCTAGGGCTATTAGAAGGCAATCCAGTGGTTGTCCATTCTCTTTGTGATGAAATTATTATGATTAAATATTTATAATCGTACGTTTTAACTTACAATTAGTACTTTTATTAGAGAGGACAACCCAGTGGTCAACGACTTCTTTTCTTAATAATAATTAACTTCCCGTAGGGTAAGTCATAGTAATCGCAAAAAATCGAAAATATTTTTTTTGCATATCTACGTTTCAAGGTTTTCTGAACATTTTGGCATATCATAGAAAAAATTGATGTATATGTGTGTATATGTATGTATGAAGAACTGAAAATAAAAATGATCATTAGATATATGCACATCAAATCATCAAATATTTTATAGATATTTTAATAAGAACAAACTTTGTTTACTTTTCTATGGGTTCCGTACCAATGTTTATCCGTTATGCGATGCGGCGCCCACGCGCTTCGATCATTTGTTTCTACGCAACTTATCGCGATTGCTTTGAAAAAAAGTTCAAAATTCCCAAAATATTTTAAAGTATAAAAAAAATCATATTTTCGAAAAGATCAATTTCTTTCAAACATTTTAAAAATCTCAACAGATTAGCTTCATCGTTCTAAAAGAAAACTGAATCTTTTTTAAAAAATTTAATTTTTAGTACGGGAAGTTCCAGCAGTTTGCCTTAAGGCACGATGCCATGCACCACTAGTTTGTATTAGATATGTCTAATCCTAACGGCGTATATGTGTTGCAGCAATGACCAGGAAAGGGTTTTTATTGAGTTCATTTTTGCTTTATAACTTTATAGAGAAATTTGATATCATGCTAATTGATATCAAACCCAGGACTAGTTTTAGGCTTTAGTGTAATGGATATGAATGTTAATTTTCTGTTTCAAATCGTAATGCATTATACGTAGCAACATAAACAAAATATGAGAAAAATCACAATAGGCTGAAAGGCTGAACAATAAACACGTGTATTATATCATAAAAACAGGACTAATACAAAGCATTGTTTTATGTGTTAATTGGCAAAAAAGTAATATTCACCCAGAATTTCTCATACTCGAATCTGTTGTATTGATTTCGAAATAAATGTATAATTATTTCCTTCTATATGTCCATTAAGAATCTTTGCTCTAATTGTAAGTCGCTGTGTGGATAATATAATAAGAAAGTGACTGGCCAGATTGTTATAAAGTAGCAACAAGTTATTCCACGGAAAGCTTTAAGCCGTTCGCCTTGCAGAGTCGTATTCGTTGTCTTCATGTCGATTTGTACTAATAAAATAGTTAACATGTATATAGTTAATTACTAATTGTCGTTACTTCACTTTTTTTTATGTTTTAACAGCGATCAGATCTTTGGATCTTATGAGCTGTTGTGCTGATTTTCTGATCTCTATGTGATGAATTTGTTATTACAGTTCCTGTTATACTGATAATTTATAGTAAAAGATATTGTCACTTGGAAACTCTTGCTATCTTTATTTTCGAATGAAAACTGGCGTCGCTACTGCTTGATATCAAACTATTCAAGAAGGGTATCGAACTTCTCATTCGAAGCACATAGCTCTAACAACTAGGCCATGTTGCGGCCAGTATTACTTTATTTGGGACCATGCTAAATATCCATTTTGGTAAAAAAAAAATACTTGAAAGTTTAGTTCCGAATATGTTTTTAAGTAATGAATGTAACTGACGACCTTGTAATCAGAGTCCCTGATTCAAATCAGCGTTTTGGTCAACATCTAACAGTGATATCCATTTTTACATGAAAATATAGATCACATGCTTCTAGGTGAAATTAGCCTAATAGAAAAATAGCCCACTAAATTATGGAGGCATTACTGCAAAATGTAAAAATAAATTGTTTACGAACAGCATCATCATCATCTAAAAAACAACTACCACTAGTTGCTTTTTAAAAAACCTTGTAGTTGAGGAAAAGTAATAATGTTTGTCCAAATAGAGTATTAATGGATGTCCTTAAAAAACGTAAAATAATTGAATTTAGAAAATTCCATGAATATATTGCCAAATGTATTATTTATCTACGGCTCAGTAGATTTTCACCTAAAACTAATCAGTATTATTCCCAACTAATATATTTCGAACAGTTTTCGATTTTTTAAAATCGATTCGGTAGTTTGAGCTTAAATGTGGTCGAAAAGTTTTACACTTATTTTCAAATTACAAAGAAACGGCTGGGCAGATGGTCTCACAAAACTGACAAACGATAGTCCTCATTGAGATACATCAAATGGCTTTTAAATTTCTGAAATCGGTTCAGGCGTTTTTGAGAAAACGTCGATCAAAGGTTTTATTTTGTCAAATGTCAAAGAAACGATACTAATTTTTGCAAACTTTGACGATTTTTCAAAATTAAACGATCTGTCGTAGGGCCGTAATATTTTAGTATGGTCTACAAGACTATGGTATCTACCGTCAAAAAAAATCATAAAAATCGTCGAATTTTTTTTTTTTAACTTTTTTACAAGAAATCCCGGCCGGCCCGCCCATCTTTACCAAAAACTAATCAGCACGATTCCCAATCAATATCTATCGAACGGTTTTAGAATTTTCAAAATCGATTCAGAATTGTGGGCTAAAACGTGGACGAAAAATTTTTCAATTTTCTGCGATTTACAAAGAAACGGCCCGGCCGATCGTCGCACAAAACTGAGGAACGCTAGTCCTCATTGAGATACATCGAATGGCTTTTAAATTTTTGAAATCGATCCAGCCGTTTTTCAGAAAACGTCGATTTACGGCAAAAAATCTGATCACACACACACACACACACACACATACATACACACACACATACTTTTTCCAAATTTGGGCTCATTCGATTCAGAATGGCTTGAAACGTCGAGAAAACATAAAATTAGCAAGTCGGATTTTTTTATGAAAACATAAACTTCTCCTTCGGGAAGTTAATAATTCAATAGCTAATAATAATAATGCATACTTCTGCTTGTAACTTGTGGCTTGGTATACTTTTATGACTATACAAAAAATATTATAATTAGCAAATTTATTTGCTAATTTTAGCAAAATGCACTTGAAACATGCAGCTGCAATTCTCAAATTAAATTGATCTACTTACGAAATTAGACCAAAGGTAATTTCGTATTTCATTTGTTTTATGTTCGCCCGTCGTGAAATAATGATAGTCTATTAATTAGCATTAGCTTAGTAATAAAAAGGGAATCAAATAATTAATATTTTGCGAAATGAGTTCATTTTATGAATACTAATACTAATAAAAATGATATAATAATAATGAAGATCGTGAATGATGTTAGGTTCATAGTATTGTAGATAGCACAAGTGGATTCTCGTTTTTTTTTATTTCTTTTTTTTTACTAATTTCTTAGTTGATCATTGATCATTCACTATCTATTTCTTCTTTTGCTACCTTATCTTTCTATCTTCTTTTTCTTATTCTTAATGAAAATATTCACCAATTTTACACGAATTAATGTGAAATGTGACTAACCAATTTTTTAAAAACTATAAATATAATTTTAGTGTTCATATGGTCGTCCATTCAGGAGGATATAAAATTAGTGACTGATAAAAAACATTATATAAAGAAAATTTTAAAAGCACATGCACAAATTCTCATTGTGACTAAATTACTCAGTTGATATAAAAACAAAATTGTTATAGTCAAAATAATAAGTTATAATCAAAAATCACAAATTACATCATCTTAACAAAAATGTCATTTCTTAACAACTTAATAATAACTCTGTGGAACAAATTTTTCTATTATCCAAAAAACAAAATATCATAATTCTGCTGGGATTTTTTGCGTTTCGCAAACTTGAAAATGTTTACGTGCCTGTGGCAGCTATGGGATTGGTAAGATGGAATTTTGTTTGCAAAACAGAAACTTGTTTTCAGTTGTTTGTTTTGAGAATTGCACGTTTTGTTAGTGCTGTACTCTAAGTACTCTAGCGCTGTTTGTTTACTCTGAACATTTTGTATTCATCTACTTACCGTGCGAATTTTAATTTCAGTTAAAGTTTGTACATGATATTTTACTATAATTATTGTTTTAAAATCGTTGTAAATTTATTCTCATAATATTCATATTGATGTTGTTTTTATTTTGTTATTGTTAGTATGCACTTAATTTGATTAGATTGCGCTCATAGTTATAATTATATTAGTTTAAAATTGGGATTACATTAAAAGTTTGTTTGCTTTTTAATGCAATAACAATATTACTCATTTAACAAAAATAGGAAAACTATTTATATTTATTTCACAAGTTAAAATATCAAAAAAAAATTGTAAGAAAAACTGGAATGATTTATACTAAGTTTCCTGGTTTTTCAGCTTGGTTTTCCTATTAATACTAATAATACTATATTTGACTAATGTAAATCGAACTATTCTTATAGTTTTTTTTTTGTAAAAAAATGTGATTATCTGAATTTTCTATTTCCCAGGCTGGACCCACCCGCGCTGAGTACAGCTGCCGGCGGATGCGCGATGGACAGTAGCAGACGCTTGCAGCAGTTGCAGCAGGCAAATTCTCACCTTGCCCCTCTGTCTGCTCCCCAACTCGCTCCAACCAATGCAATCGATTATCGACCGAGGTCACCACTGTTCCCACAAATATCGTCACAGACGTACAACAATAGCGATGGGTGCAAAACGCCGCTGCTACAGCAGTATCCGCAGGTATTATTTTAGGATACACATATAGGTATTATGCTTAGTTTATTAATTAACTTGACTGACTTTGTTATTCAGGATGTATATGAACGTCGATACGAAGAATACGAGCGTTCAATGGCCGCTGCTCCACTACTTCTAAAGCAGCAGCCGCATCATCATCACCATGAAAATGATCAACAACAGCAACAACTGCAGCAGCATCCATACCAAGCTGCACCAATGATGAGAGCGCCGTCGCAACAATTTCATCAACATCAGGTAAGTTCATGTTTAATGCAACTCTGCAGGTGCTCAAAAATGCAATTGTTATTGCTTATAATGACGTTGTTATTTTTTATTTTCAGATGTATCAACAGTTTCCAAATCACCAACATAACCACAACCACAATCTTTCTCAACATAATGCTCTTCCCCCTCAGCCCCCTTTATCTCCGCCACCTACAACGCAGTCTCTCTTACCTAACTCAACGTCAAATTCCTCAATCTCATCTCGATCCCATCAACAACCGCTGTTACTTCAAGAGCAATACCGCCAACTTCAGAGGGCCAGAACTCAGCAAAGAATAGAATGTCAAGCACGTGCTGCACTGAATCAGCAGCGCACATTTGCAGCGAGACAGGCGGCTTTAGCAGCCGCTTCTGGTAACCCAGCGATTGCCTGCGCCAGCCCAGTTCCCAGTGTTGTTGTAAGCGTAACTCCGGTTAGTAATAGCGGGACTGGTGTTGGCAACAGAGTGCAAGGCGAAGATGGATTCGATGGTTAGTATTCGATTGATTGTTATAATTTGCAATTATTTAATTAGACTTTCTAAATTTTGTAAATTTGTAAATATCCACAGTTTCTACGCCTGGCGCTAGAAAACCATCAGGAATAGATTCTCATCATTCTGACAATCAAAATTACATGCCTCCCCAAAATCATAGAAGACCAGATGGCGCACAACAAGAAAATCCAATGTTTTCTGCTCAGTCTAACAGGAGAGTGCCAGGGGTGGACAATTCTCAACAAAATATGTACCCAAATAATAGAAGACCAGGTTTGGAAAATGCCCAACAAGATAATCAACAATATCCTAGAAGTGCACAAATTGATTTTAATCAAAGAAGGCAAATGGAAAATATGCAGCAGGATAATAATGCACTAAATTATATGAGGAGGACAGGCGCAGAAGACAATCAAATTTTTATGCCAAATAGAAGGCAAGATAATCAGGAAAATCATGGGCAAGTTATTAGGCGAACTACCGATGATGCTAACGCTCCGGTTGTGCCGCCTGGTATCAGAAAGGTTGACGGATCAGAGAATCAGAAAGTGACTGGTATATAAAAATAATATGCAAATATTAATTCTAATATAAACCGAACGATTGAAAGTTTTATATAATTATTTTTATATTTTAGGTAGCAACAATTGTAGAGACAACGTTCGCAGTCCTGTTACTGTAATGCAACCCCCTCCTATATCGGCGAGCAATTCCAGGCGAGAAGTTTTACCTCCTAATGCATCATCAGTGGCAACTCGAGAACGAATGCAAAGCCCTGTGCCAACAATAAACATTTCGCAACAACAAGCACCTCAAGTACCCCCAAAACCATCTGCTCAAACTGCAAGACAAGCACAACATAATTTGTATGTGCAACCTCATCCTAACAATGGTGATCAATCGATTATTAGTCCAATTGGCAGCCCTGGAGCACCAAACTATGCTAGCAGCCCCGCTAATCAGACACAGAATAGTCCACAGAAATATAGCCAGGGAAATCTTTACAGTCAAGGTCCGACTGTTAACAATCAACAACAGCAATATTATAATCAGCAAGGAAATGTAAACTTACAACACAGCCAAGTCAATCAAAGTAATCAACCTGTTAACTCAAATCCATTTTATCAATCTAACCAGCCTTCAGGCCAATCAAATGAACAAATAAGTTCTCAGCCTTCAACTCCTTATCACCAACCACTTACTCAACCACAAAGATCGAAAAGCATTGCTAGCAGTATAACAAGTAGTATTTCTTCAAATAGCATTATGGTTAGAGGTCCAATAGCCAGGAGACCTATGGATAGTGTAGTGACAATTTCTGGATGGCTACACAAGCAAGGTTGCGATGGCTTAAAAGTATGGAGAAAGCGGTGGTTTGTTTTGACCGATTACTGTTTATTTTATTACAAGGGTTAGTTAAGCAAATAATTTAATTCATTTAATAATTTATAATTGGTAGTCACAGATGTGTTATTTTTCAAATCAGGACAAGAAGAAGAGAAACTTCTAGGCTCTATATTATTGCCATCTTACACTGTTTCAATATGTACACCTGATGAAAAGCACCATCGCAGAAACTCCTTCAAATGCGAGCATGCCAATATGAGAACTTATGTTCTGGCTGCTGATACACCTGAAGCTATGGCGTTATGGGTTCGAGCTTTAAGAGATGCATGCACAATGCAATGGTATAAATATATTGATAAATTTATTAATAATGAGCAACCGTAATATACAATACATTTTTTATATAATTATTAAGAAGATTTTGAATAAAGCTTATTAAACCCTTAAATATAAATTACTTTATTCTCAATTTTTTTCTATTTTTTTTTTTAATTTTTTAGTGATGAAAGCTCGCACCAATCGCAACCATCAGTATCTAACAGTGATACTTCAACTTCACTTCAGCAGCAGGCAATTAGTGCACCTGTACCACAGGTATTGAATCAACAGCAACAACAGCATATGATAAGTCAACAGCAACAACAACAAATATTGAATCAACAGCAGCAAATGTTGAATCAACAGCAACCTCTTTATGCAAATGCACCCCATAGGGTGAGATCTCCTAATGAACCCCAATGCTATTCACCTGTGCATGGCGGTCAAGAAAGGTGAGAAAAAATAATGTCTTATAATGAATATAATGGAAATCATTAGTTTTATTCTTGGTAAAAAAATAATGCCAATTTTAACAAAATTATATTGGTAATAATACTCAGTATATGCAACTTTACATCATTTTTTACTTTCAATACAATCCTCTTTTAAATTCCTAGCATTGGCTATTAGTTCAATTTTATTAGTCTCTTTTTTGTTATAACAATTATGATCTCAATTCAGAAAAGTGTAGTTCTAGTAATATTGTTCATTGTCATTTCGTACAACAGTGCCCAAATGGGTTATTTTCCACTTAAAATACATTTCAACTTACTGAAGATGTTTGCTTTCTTCATAATACCGACTTGCTTATTTTGTATTCTCGACTTTAAAGTCATTTTGCGGTACGAACTCGCGTTTTGCTATTATACATATAATTTATCTACATATGAACTTGAATAAATTTGACAATAATAATATATTTATTTTAAGTTATACAATTTGCTAATTATTTTGCTGCTATGAAGAAAATCATAATTTCTATTTGAATTAAATTGGTTGGAATTAACTGTTTGATAAAAACTTTTAGGTATGATGAATCAGCCTATGGCGCTAGACCCCAATCAAGGAGAATGCATCAGGAGATGGCTCGTTCTCCAATACCTTCTGATGCAATTTATGAGACACAGCAGCAATTACAGGGACGGTTATTGCAACAACAACAAAATATGGCACCTAATGTTTCCAATTTACATCCAGGATTTAGTCACTCATACACAATGGATCATAATGCACAGAAACAACACCAAGCCTTCTTATCATCTCAGAGGCAAAATGCATATAGCAAAACCATGCCTGCTCCAGGGCATGGTCCTGTTAGAGAGCTCAGGTCACCTTATGATATGGAGGTAAAATAGTTATGAATTGATCCTTTATCTTGAAAGTTTTAAAAATTAATAGATTAGCATAAAACTTTTTACACCTTCATTTATTAATGTTTTATAAATGTGATCCTATTCCTTTTCTAGTCATCCTATATGCCTGAAAATACTGAGAATATAATTAGAGCTCCAAGAAGATTCCAGAATCCCAATGAAGAATATGAACAATATACTCAACAGAATGTAACAAACGCAGCTCAAACTTCTCAGTTGAGAACTGTGCAAAAATCTAATGAAAGGAGAACACCTGATACTTACGGTAGATCTAGGCATGCCAGACAGTAAGTTGTTTTATTACCAATAATTTACATTGATTTGTGGCATTTGCTTTATTGTGCAAGTCGATGACTAAACCATTTTTTAATCTATAGGCAATATGCAGCATCAATAAATGCTGCCAATGCCATGGCTGTAACAGGATGTCAAATAGATGCTGAAACTAGTGCAATGCAGCAGTCCGCACCCAGCAATGCTGGTGACTATGAAGATTTATATAATGGGTACAAAAGACCTATGAGTCCGGCACCAAATTCACCTACTTCTTCAACTGGTCTTGGTAATTTGAATCCCCAAAGCAGGGCCGAACTTGAAAGGAGAGGCATTATTTTACCTCATGGGTATAATGATGAACAGGTATGTATAAATTTGAATACTTTTTTTATTTCATCTTTGAAAATCCAAAAAATAATCTATCATTAATGCGATATGTATAATTTTTAGTCAGCAGCTCCTGTTCAATTGCGTCATAAACAAAACAAACGCCAATTAAATGCTCAATCCCAAAATCCTTACCAAACAAGACGGAATGTAATCCCAAGGCCTCACAGCGCCGATTTCCTTGAGTATGAAACGAAAGCGTCTTCTAATCAAAATTCAACTATGTCTGCTACTTCAGCTCATAACATCAACCAGAACTCCATTCCAGTAAATAATAATGCTATCTCTGGAGGCGATTACGGTAGTAGTAACCGCAGTGCCAGAGATCGTTTAATGAGGCAAAGGCCGAAGAGCAGTCTTGACATGCCCATTGGAGACCAGATGTACTACTCAGAAAAAAGTTATGCAGAGATGATGCGACAGAGTGCGCTTTATGTGGATGCTGTAAAGAGTGGTGGTATTGATGGAGCAAATAGGCAGAGAATTTTAGGGGGAGGGAGGATGTATGAAGATAATAATGCGGGTATTGATAAGAAATTTATCATATTTTGTTTTTTTTATAATATATTTCTGGATAATTAATTATTAATAATGTAGACCTTTAGTTAGATAGGAATTATTATAAATACCTGATAAACATTATTTTTTCTAGGTAATGAAATACCTAATAAGTCACATTCAATACATCTTAGCAATGATGTGCAGAACTATGATGAAGAAATTCGTGAAATGTCTCATTATTCACAAAATCGAGATTTTGTGAACAGTTACAGTGTGCCTAGACAAGGCAGGGATCAGCATATAGATGGTATATTATTCATTACATTATTAATAAATGCATATTGCATTTTCAAGTTCGTTCATATTTTGTTTTATTTTATAGGGTCCAACCAATTTGCCAGGTCAGCGAGTGCTAGGTTATTCCGTAACAACAAAGATCAGGATGAACCTTTAGAGCAAGGTGCCAAAAAGGTGCAACAGGTTAGATTACTTTTAATAAAATTTTTGAACATTATGTTTATATAGTAGAATTCCGACATACGAGTTTAATTCGTTCCGCAACCACGCTCGGATGTCGAATCGGTAATATCTCGAAGCAATTTTTTCCGTATAAATACATTGAACTACTATTAATTTGTTCCAGAACCGAATATTACAATTAAATTTACTGTTTATTAATTCAATTATTATTTTTTCCTGTCCATTTATGATATTTCGGAAATGAGTTAGACATGCGTTGTTGAATGACTCCCATGCTCGAAATGATACAACTCTTTTGGGATGGTTTTTATCTACAAACTTGTATAGCTCAGAATAGCTGCTTATAAAGTATTATAAGGCATTTATCTGGAGTTAAACCCTTCATCAACTCTTTCTATTTAAACACAAAACATATCTATGATGTATTACCCTCATACATCTTGCCATCCTCATATTTTTTTTACTAATTTCGCGCTTTAGTTCAAGAGATGACTTCTCTCTTTGGACCCTTTATCTTTGGATGCAGCAAAATTCATAGCTTTTCCTTAGCTCTAAATATAATTATTGACTACTTTGATTTGATACCTAAAATATTGCCATGAAGTTAACTAGTTTGAGGCTTTTATTAATAGATCTTGAATATAATTTATGTATATTTATAATTTTATTTTCAGGCAAAATTATAGCTATCATTTTTTTATTACCCACAGCGTGAAGAATCTATGAAACGTCTATTGGAGTGGAAGCAGCGCATGCTGCAAGCACCTCTCAGCCGCAGCACTACAGGAGTGATTGATGCAGGTTCTGCCACTGCTATGAACCCTTCAAGTAATGTCAATAGAACAATGTCACCAGCTCCAATGATCTCAGATAGTAATGGGGGATTGAATTCTACGAAACAAAGGCAAAGCAGTTATAACAGTTATTCGTCGGATGATGAAGGTTAGTTACAAAAGGTTTTACATGTTTAGTTGATCCATTAAAAGGTCTAATTTCATGGTAGATTTTATCATTTTTTTTATTTTTTTGGCTGTTATTTATATTATTACTTTACATAAATGATAAACTTTTTGCTATTGTTATTAAACAGTTGTGACAGATTATCAATGAATGTTTTAAATTGAACTACTGAATCGATTGCCAGATTTGCATAAATGCACTTTAGGTGCTGTTCATATATTAAAACTAATACATTTTTGTTTTAAAAGCAACATTCTTTTACCTAACTGCCATATAAAATTCATTTATTGATAGATTTATTGTATGCATAATGAATATTATTATATGTTTATTGTATATACATTTATAAATAATTGTAAAATTGATAATGTTGTATGTAAATGTATCCTTGTGCATATATATATATATATATATATATATATATATATATAATATCAATTAGTTAAAGATAATAAAAATAGTGTTAGGCTCACTTCCTGCCTGCTTCTTGGGAATCTCGAATGATTTAGTAATACTATTTATGTTTTTTGGGGTCATTTGGTGAAACACTAACCAATTATTTTTTAATATGTATTATAAATTTAAATGTTTTAGTTTTTAGTTCACTCATCGCACAAATTACACTAGACAATTCTAATTCCACAATATGCATGCATTCATTTCAATTAACTTGGTTCTGGTTATTGGTGTGAAATTAATTCAAGAGTTATTAGTCATAATGGGTAAAAAATAAAATGTTATTTGGTTTAGTTGTTTTTCAAAATCATGATTTATATATCAAATATTTTAATTATGCATACATTCCTATAAAGATACATATTATTTATAAAATTATCAGCAAATTAGTATTAATAATAAAAAAAACCTAAACAGACCTTTTTATCCAGAACGACTATATCAATATATGGTTCAGGTATTAATTCCTTATTTCGATCATTTGATTTTTGAATATATTTTACTGTTATTTTGGCATTTTGTAATTGCAATAGTTATTGGGTTTATTTCTATTGCTTTTTAGAACAAAAACTATTTTGATTGAAAACAGTACATTATACTATTTGAAGCAAAAGAACATTATATATTATGAATATGTTTATTTTGAGTTTGAATTTTCATTCTGGTGCTATAACAAGCATTTTAGTACATTTTGATGTTAAAGTATTTTTTATTATTTTTAACTATAGTTGTACTTTGCATTCAAATATCAAATTTTTCTAAACAGATTGTTTCAACCAAAACATGACTTCAAAAAACGATTGTATATATAGAAATAAAATTGGTTTAATAGACAGGGATCTTGCAATGTTTTCAAACAATTGCTTATTAGAAGATGTGTTTATAATATTATGTAGATTCGTTAATAATATAATTGTAATGAGATAATTTGGCTAACCTAAAACTTCTATAAACATCTTATATCATTCAAAAATAGGTATTTTGTAACGTGACAAGAAGCTATTGAATACACAATTATTTTTTACGATAGCGATAATCATGTGATGCTAAGTAGCCAAATTATTTTTTTCTGCATTAGCTTGACGAATAAACATAATATATGATACAAAAATTTTAATCTGTGATTGATTTGACGACGTCGCGATTTCCTTCCTTCTATTCTGGTGTATAAAACTAAAATCACAAAATAAAAACTGTTTGGATCAGATGGATGGCAGGCAGGAAGCACGAGTAGTCCCCTCACTACCACCACCACTAGCACAAATCACCACCAATCTACTTCAACAAATAATAAACCGCCGAAGCCACCGGGCGATAATAGATCGCGCGCCGCCAATAAACCGCCAGCCGAGACGCACCTAAAAACTCCATTGAAAAAGTTCGGAAGCGTTTCCGAACATCCGCCGCCGCCGTCGCCGTCGCCGTCTTGTACGGTTTGCGTCGATTCAAACGCCGCCGGACCGTTGTGTACCGCTTGCTGCGGCACCGGCAAAGCGTTAACGAACGATACCAAATCAGATAATAATAACGAAACTGTTGCATCGCGTTGTAGATTATTCGATGAATCTGTAGTTTCGGCCAAAAGGCGTAGTAGCGATAACTTACCGCCAAGAACTTCCCGTGACGGCGTTTCCGGCGATAAGCCGCCGTCTCGAACTAATTCTTATGCATCAGATAAGAGTAGCATTTCAGTAACTGATGGCAAATCACACGTATACCCTGATGATGTCTTTAATACTAATAAAGAATTACAATTCGCCACCGGGCAAACGCCGCGTAAAAGCCATGAATTAAAAAAATTACCAAAACAAGAAGTTAACCAAAATAAAGCATTAAACATTCACTACGTTCCTGTGTACACGCAAAATAGCCGTATGTCTAAGAAATCAAATGCGGCAGAGTTTGATACAAAGACTACTTCACTAATAACACTTAATGTTCAAGATGAAAGCATTTCTACATTACTGAAGATGCAAAGCGGCAGCTTTGATTTATCAAATAATGTACAAAGTAAAGACGTGGAAGATGATCAAAATGAAACCACATACACTGACGGAGATATCGATGAAATTTTAGGAAATGATACAGACGTTACACCAACTGGTGATGGATCTCTAGAGAAGCAAGATGACGTACATTGTCTTACTCCTGTAATGGCTGAGGATCATTATTTACCAATGAGTCCCAGGAAAAGTACAGAGTCCACACAGCTAACAGAAAGTTTGAAAAATTTAGCTTTGTCAGATACTGAGGAAAGTCCTTATGTTGAAATGACACAAGGTTTGAGTAATAGCTCTACCCTATATGGCTCTTTAGACCGTGATAATAGTTTCGGTGATACACCTTACGAAATGATGGTAGCAACAAGTAAACTTGAACCAGTCTATATGGAATTATGTCAATTAAAAACTGGCGAAAAGAAACCGGAAATTATTAAGAACTCCAAAACTACTAAAAAAGTTCAAGTGAAAAAATATCATGATATTAAAACTATCAAAAAGCATAATAATGAATATTTCAAGACGCGCGGGGAATTACCCGATATTCTCAAAGCTTCACATCAAAATACTATTCTCTCAGATAGTTCCGACGCGGATGATGAGGCATCCAGAGATTTAGATAGCCTAGATACGCCATGCCATCCTAGATTCAGCTTATCCGATACTTTTAGACCAGCCTCATATTATTTAGGCGTATCCCAAAATGAATTTCCAGATAGTTCTGATAGCGAAATAGTATCACCACCTCCTATTCCTAAATCTCTACCACCAAATGAGGATTTGAGCTCAAACTCCAGTATAAATTTGAGTAGAGAATATTGCTCTGACGCAGATTTGCATTCAAAACAATCTCACAAAACTAGTCGAAGCAGTTTGCAGGAGCCTATGGTTAGTAATAAATTGAAATGGAGCAGCGGAGACATTGACTACACTTGCCTAAGTCGTTATAGTGTGGACAACAAGTTATATATAGAAGGCGTTAAGAAGCATGATGATTCCAGAACTACAAGCGATACAGACGATGCTGTAGGTTCAGATCATGAAGCTAATAGACTAAAACGAAGACCCTTAAGCGAAGAAAATGTTAGTGAGATCACGTCCATCCACAGTACATTTGATGAAATTATAGAATCTGTAGACCTGGATCAATATCTGAAGGATCTTCAAAATAATGAGTTTATGTATGGAAAAGAAATGTATCCAGCACCGTTTGGGTGGCGTGATAACGAACAAAGTATAGCACAAGTACCTGATGAGCAGTATTATGAAAACTTAGAAATTAGAAATACAGATCTCTCTACAAATAGTCAAGGGGTCTTTTATGACTCTCTAGAGGAAAGAGATGATACGAACTCTAAGAGTCATGTGGTATCTTTGAGAGAAAAGAATTTATCTCTACATGATGCAAACTGCGGTGATAGAGATAGAACTGATTGTGAAACAGATGTAAGATCGTCTTTAAGTCATTTGGATTTGCAACAAGCAACACCTTTACATAGCCGAAATAATAGTAATATTTCAGAACAATCTGCTCCATATTATTATTCCGATATTGCTTCTAGGATGAGTTCCAATCAAGATGTGGCGTCGCCTCATAGCGATAAGAGTAAACAAATAGAATGTTCTACAAGCGATCATCTTATGGAAGAAAGTAGATGCGCTTCAATGGAATTTTTAAACAAACATGACAACGTTGACAAACGCAATATTTACGAAAGTGATACTTTAAAACGCATTAAATCTGCTAAAGAAGATTCTACGAGTTTGTTTTTAAAGCACGATAAGTGCGTAGTACAAGCACATGATCAAGGGTTTCATTTGCATACTGTAGATTCGTTTCAAACTTCATCCTCAATAGTGGATATGTTGTTACAAAGCGTAGGCAGGGAAAATTTAATACAACCTCAAGACGAAGGAGATGTTCCTTGGGAAGAGGATGCTATATGGAGGGAAAGTTTGAGACGGGAAAGTTTAAGACGCGTCAGTGTAAGACACGCTAGATCTTTGGACGATCTTGACGGACTTGTCGATCAAAAGGACTCAAAGCAAAATAAAACAAAGTCGAGATTATCTCGAGGAGTTACTTATGTCAATGATAGCTTAGCTACAAGCAGAAACAAAAGGACTAGGTGTTCCTCAGGTGTTATTGAGGACGAGTATGTCCAACTTGCTGTTAACAACGTTAGCGATGATGGAGTTTATGAAACTTTACAAAACCGTCATAACAATTTAAAAAGCTTTGATTATGTAGATAGAGAGAAATTGAGGCAATGGGATTGGATGTCGAGTGGTTTAGTGAAGAATGACGCTATTGGGGCGTCCAAAACTGGCGGTAATACAATTGGCGGCGGCGCGTCCGATGATAAATCGGTGGCTTTGGCGGAACGGAAAGGTGAAACACAGTTATCACCGGATGGGCTCCTTGAAGGTTAGGGTAGGTTATTATGTTTTCAGTTTACTTTTTTTTAAAATAATTAAGACCATTTCTAATATAAGTTAAACGTTTATTATCGTTGTAATGTTATAAGAACTTTATTTAAAATTGTCGAATGTTTAAAATGACGGTTTTTATATATTTAAAACACAGTATCGACCCTCAAGCGATATGGCAAAATGCAAGAGTTTGATTGTCTAATACTATAACATTTACAACTATATTAGACGTTACAAAAGTTTTTTTTTGTTGCAGCAAAAATCATATTCATGATTCATTATTGTGTATTCATTCACATTTGTCTTTTGTATATTTTTATATTTTCCAAAGAATTTTGTGTAAATACAAATAAATCCATAGTTTCATGTGTATATAAAACTGTAATCATTATATTGTAAAGTCATTTCAGTATTGACTATTTTTCTTGATGAATTATATGAAAATGTGCATGTTTAGTTCAGGTCATATTGTAAGCATCAAATGCACGTTTTACACAAAAGGTAAGAACACATTTCCGCACAATTCTTTAAAAATATTTCACTTAAATTTATTATTTTTCTCGTTTCTGAAGATACTAAACATTGTGATAATTATTTTGTTCTCAGAGTGGTAACGCTAAGCCAAAAATATATATTAATTTGATTGTCGGCGATTATGTTTTTATTTTTGGTCATAATTCTTATTTTCCAAAGTTATTTTATAATGAAATTTATGCTATATTGTTGTGAGTATTGTATTTTTACAAATACTTATGAACTTTTGGACATAATCTAGGAATTGAACATAACGGTTCTGATCTCGATGCATTGCACAAAACTAGTCTTATAGCCATTTTAAAAACAGTATTTGATGGCTCTTATTTTCTTAGTTTATATTGACATAACTGCTGTCAGTCCTGCTATTGAAGATCATTATCATATCTCATTTACTTGAATTTCTATTTTCAGCGTCTCTCACCAACAAATTAGGGGTATACCCAAAAGCATCAACGCTACCAATGCGTGCGGTCAGCCCTAGATTAAGACTAAGTCAAGAAACTTTATTACAAACGGATAAATATACACAAAAACTTAATGGAAATGAATATTCAACAACAAAAACTGATTACGACAAATATTATTCGAGAAATTTATATGACAGCGATCTGATAAACTCAGATCCAAATAGTGGTAAATTTATGTACAAGGAAGATCAAGACAGGTACGGTAGTAAACAGGGATTAATAAGGGACTACGACGCCGAATATGGTTCCAGGGAAATGTTTGTAGACGCAGAATATGGTTCCAGGGATAATTTATTGGGCACAAATCATGGAGAGTATGATAGTAATTATTTGAGCAGAACTGGCGAAGATTGGTCGAGACTGAGAAGATCAGGAAGTCAAGTCGATGATCTCAACTTTATTGATCGGGACCAGATAAATAGGGTGAGTATTTTTAAATGATGCCATCGTGCAAGTTTTGAATAGCGCTATGATTACAATTATATAATGATCACATTTTGTCAGTTTTATTTTTTTTTGTAACATAGATAACAATGACATTTATGTTTAGTAATTACGTCATTTGTATTAGCATTTAAATGTATCTGCTGGTGATTTGTTGGGGCGTACACATGAGGAATTAGTTCTTCTGTTGATTCAATTGAGGAGACAAAATGCAGCAACAGCAAGAGCGGTCGAGCAGTGTTGCAGTAAAATACATCAATATCAGGTTTCAGAAATTCTTCATATAGGTTATTGCTTCTGGTGAATGGTATTTTGGAGCAACTCACACACTAATAGAATAAGCTTTTATAAGTATTTTTTACTTAGATCAATAAATGTGATAAATAATATCTTTTAATCCTTTCGCTACGAGAAGGTTTGACACGGGGGTGATATTGCTGTATGAGCGAAAAACACAACATATTTTGTTCACATAAAATGTATTTGAAAATTGCACTTGAAAAAAAACTAAAAATCACAAAACAAATTAAAATTTATTTTAAATCCTAAAAAAGGTTGTCAAGCAGATGTCGCCTATTGGCGACGGTCGTAGCGAGCGGGTTAAATTAAATATTTTTGCTGATAAATGAAGCCAAAAGCTTAACGTTTTTTGGCATATTTATTAAATGAACATGATTATAAATAATTTATTTGGATCTAATATGAAATACATGACTTTGCATCTTAGCAACACGCTTGTAGTATGGAGATTAATCAACTTATATTTTTGATATAAAAAAAATTAAATTGACAAGCAACATAAATGATTCAGAGCAAACTAATATATAACACTTCTAATATTTATGTATTTGATATCATCTCATTATTTTATATAGTTCTTACGCTGTAAGAATACTCTAGACGTATTAATTATTAACACCAGGTTGTTTAGAATCACATTTTACGTCTTAATCACTGCATTTTATTTGCAAGAACTAGGGTATACTAATGATTCCTAATTTTATTGTACCAGTTTTTCCATAACCACCTCAATAACCCGAAACTGGGCCAGTAGCTGCTGAGCAAAATAATTATTTGGTTGACTAACACTGATGTACCAATTTATTTTTTATATATTTTATAATAATAACAAATTACTCATGTTCAAATCATATCACATGTGATTTTCACAGAGTCGTCTCGGAAAATCGATCGACGATTCCAAGCAGCGTGAAGAAAACTTGCAAAAATAAACGCTCTAAAACACCATTTGCTCGAGCTGGAGAAGCAGTACGAGAAAGGTAAACCCTTGGTCAATCTAGTGGACAATATGGTCAAGCTGGGAGCTCTTTATAAAGGAAATGCTAAACCGACAAACCAACGACATAATGGCGGTTATTTGAATGATAAATTGGAGTTTAATCAGAGGCTGGAGAAAGAAGGCTGATGAAAGAAGAACAAAAATATTGGGATAGTGCTAACGTGGATGAGCAGCAATTGCCAAGTTAGTAATATTTGTATTACCAAAGAAAATATTATAGATATAGATATAGAGCTATTTGAAAACTCGTTTTTGAAATTAACTTGAAATAATTTGAAATTTCTTCGGCACCTACATGCTTTTTTTTTCTAGCTTAAATTTCTAGCGTTTAAGCGTTTAAATTAGCGATTAGTGAAACATGCAGAAGAATTATATATTTCTTGATATTGAAAAAAAAAAAAACTATATTACAAATTTTATATCCGAATCTTGTTTTGGCGTCCCTAAGGTGTGCGCCCGCATTTTTCGCATTCGTCGCATTCAAGGGAGAACCGGCCTTATATAATATCCTAGTATATATCAATATAATATTAATGCATTTTATTATGATATTATTATTATTTTCATGCCTGAACTCAGAGAAATAGTGATAAGGATGTGAGTATAACCCAACTGTAATGTTTATTTATAAATTGGCCTTATAAAAATTAATTAGTAATAATTTTGCAATTTTTAACAAATTATTAAAAAGAATTACATACTAAATATTGCAAAACTTTGCAATAGTTTCTACGGCAATTCTGTATGCTTACAAATCACTCATAAATTAATATATTGATATCTCATTGTCTAAGTCGATTATTTACACATGTTGGGAAATTTATGTCACTTTTTTAAAGGAAAATGCCTCTTATACCTGTTTTTTTACTAGAATAAAATGCGGCAACTTCAAGAGTATAGCGACCAACTTCGCGAGCAATCAAATACTTTACAAGGACTACGCAAAGATGAAGAATCGCTTCGAGGGGCTTTGGCAAGCTTAAAGACACGTATGCAGCAGGGTCAACAATTGAAGCAGACTCATAGTACTATGAATTCTGCTGCTGGGAGAGCCGAGTTGCTGGAAAAAGCCAGGGAACAAGAGAGGGCTTTGGAACGAGAACTGACTAAAGTTCGGGAGCTCTTAGTGAATAATTCCAAGGTAACAGTGGAGAAAAATTTTGATATCTATATTTTAAATAGTTGCTATAGTTAAACCTTTATGTTTATTAACGAGTTAAGTGTGTCGCGCTCGTCAGAATCGAGTCATGACAAGTATATTTATCAATCACAGTTAACTAGTTAAATGATGATACTGATAGCCTATTTTTTAATTTTTAGATGAGATTAGTTAATTTTCAGTTCAAATTTTTAGATAAATTAGTTGCTAATAATTTTAGTGTAACTTTAACATAAAAACTTTAACTGTTACTTTTTGTGTCAGAAATTAGAAAATACGTTGTCCGCGAACTCAAGAGCTGAAGATGAGTTACGAGTAATGACTCACAGATTTCAAGAATCCAAAACCAATAACGGTTCTCAACAGCAACTATTGTTTATGGGTAACATGAATAGCAACACTAATGGAACTAGCAACAATCAAACTGATAGTGTGCCCTATGCTGGAGGAGCAACAGCCTTACTTGAATCGGTTAGTACTTACTGATTACTTTATAATATTCTATAAAACTTATATTATATAATATAAAAAATGAATATTATATAATATTTTTATGGACCAATTTTTGAATCAAATAGTTACCTTAATTTGAGTATTTGCATGAGTTGAAAGTCACAGAGCAACTAGTTTTACCTCCAAATAGCACAAAAGTTCGACTTCACGCCGATTTTATTTTTGCAACAAAATTACACATTGCAAGAATAGAACTAATGTTATATTTTGAAGATTAGAGTTTAGGAGTTGATATTGTGTAAAATGTACGATTTAGGAGTTAGTTTGTGTGCTTTATAACACTAATAATATAATTTTAGAACTAAGGCGTGTGCAAGAAGTAGTCGGTGACATCCAAAGACAGAGACAAGAATTGAGTTTAGCTGTACGTGAGTTGACAGATAGATCACAATATGTTGATAGAGATGTCTTGCCTAAACAGACTTTAACATGTGAGTATGTTTGTTGTATTAATCACATAATAATAAGTACTGTTCTGCCCGAAGGAGAGCTTCACAAAACAATGATTCCTTTTCTCTTTCTTCATATTATTATATTATTCGTATTTCCAATTTTCTACTTTCATGCTTTTCGATTCTGTGCTTCAGCTTTCAGTTCTTTGTATTTTTTTTCTCGCGTAAATCATCAATCATCTGCATTCGTTTTCTTCCTAGTCCTTTTAGTCTTTCTATTTTACGTTCGACGACGTCCTACAGCAGTCACTTATTTTGCAATATAGGTCCGATCCAGTTTCCTTTCTTTTTCATGATCTTGATAGTCAATAATGTTATAAAATTGATTGGGAGGGAGATTTTTCTCCTTACTATCTCCCTTCATAGTTCTTGCCTACCCTTTACCCATTTTTTGCACTCCATAATGGCGTGCTCAGCATCCACCCTAGTCACTTCACCCAAGCAATAGCAATTAGGATCACTTTTAATTAAAATATACAACTATACAAGCTCTAATAAAACTAAGCAATTTTCCAAATTAATTCGAAATTAATAACCTTCTTACGTATATGTTTAAATTTACAAAAAATCAAAGATTTAAATGTTTTTATACTTTTTTTGTAATATTTTTTTTTAGCAAATGCATCTATAAAGAAGCGGCCTCAAGCTACATGGCTAGAAACGGACCTAGATTTGATGATTACATTGGAACATGGTATCAATATCGAAAGCGATGAACAAACAAAAAATAATTTATACAAGAACATGATAAACAATACAACGTCAAATAATGGCTGCAATTTAAATGTTGAGAGTAGAAATGTGGAGGATGATGAAGATAGTGGTTCTGAAAACAAAGCTTTGGGTAAGCGACTGATTCAGAATTATTTTGTGATAAAATATTTTATGCTTATATTTATTATGGTTCAATTAAATTATTATAGGAGCCCTGAATGCAAATTCTCAGGAGAGATCGGAAGTAAAAACTGTGCGGATCGTAAAACGAGAAAGTGAACGAAGACACCGAGATCGAAATGAAAAAACTCAATCATGGAATTACACAAGTAATTTGGATCATGTAAGTAAAATTCAAGGCATCTCTAATAAAATGATCAAAATTAATATTTGCTTTTATTTGAAAAAAAAATTACAAATCATTTACATTATGAATTATGATTTTAATTAATGTATGTTACATAATTCGAGAAAACCATTTTTGTTTAGGTTATGGAAGAAGAAACAAATCGTCCTAAGTCTGTTTTTGAAAATGATTTAACATCAATATCATCCTCGAACCAGCAACGACCTTACTCATACGCACAACAATACAGTCGCAATGCAATAAATAATTCCAACTATCCCTCGAATGCATCAACCAGTTTTCTCGGTGTTTCCAATAACATATACACATCCAATAATTATTCATCAGACAATTTATCATCTAGAGATCTACTAAACGAAAATAATTTGATACTTAGTAAATATATTCCGCGGACCATTTCTCATCATCACAAAATTTGTATGGAAAATCGGAATTTCCTTCTTCGCAGAATTTGTATGGATCTCGTGATCTCAAGAATTTTGTCAAAATGTGAATCCATTGTTAGCCTTAGCAAATCTGCTGAATTGTCACCAGTTTTCCATAGTCAAGCAGCTAAAGACATAATAAGTACGATCAATATCAATGATGTGAAAACTGAAGATAAATAAAACAACTCAAGAGTGAAGTCATGATTCATAAGAGACAAGTGCCTAAGAGAAGAGGAGACATTACCAGCTCCAACTATGATATCAATATGAAAGGATTGCTAATATGGATGGATCCTACAGCAATGGTGGC